GAATGAATATATAAATGGATAAATATTTTATATTATGTAAATCATATATTAGACATAATTTATAAAAATTTGAATTTCAATATTATTTATATACATTAATTTTTATGTTGGCTGTATATTTCTGTGCAAAGCATTGCCTCGTATAGCTATATATTATTTATTTTCAGAGTAACAAAGTCGAGATAATAAGTACTTAAGGTAATACAACACGAAACTTTGAATGAAATAAACATTGACTTGTTTTTTTTTATATAAATCAGTATTGCATGAGTGCTTGATATTTACTTATCAATTTCTACATGCACAAAGAAAGCCTGTAAATATTGTGCAACACAATATAAAATATAAAACATTATATTTCCTGTCTTCCTTTCAAATATTTTTCAAAAAAAAATAATTATTATATATATAAATATGATCTTGTATGATTTTATCACGGCTTTATACCATTTTAAAATATTTTTCAATCCATATTTTGATATCTTTCTTTTTTATTTCTTTTTTTTTTTAAATCATCAAAGCACTTAATTGAAATAAAATGTGAACTGTAATATAATATAAAGATTCGTGTTGCTTTTCCTAGATAATTAATTTATAAAACTTTTCATAAGTTTGCATCATATTTCAAATTTTTATTTGCACAGCTTCATTGGAACAACCTGGCATGGAAGTTGCAGATTGGGAAGCAAAATTACTTCGTATTGAACAACTTCAGATTGAATTAGAGGTAATTTATTTCTATCATTCCATTATATTTGGTAAAATTCAATCTCTTTTATATTCATTTTATTGTAGATTAAAAAATTAGAAGCAGAAGAAGAATCCTATTATGTTCGAAAAATACCAAATAAACCACCACCTCCCTACACTCCACCTACTGGAAGTGCAAGAATTTCAACTTCGCTTGGATCACCTTCTCCTCCTCCAGCTGTGATTCCTTCAAACATAGAGGAATTAATAGCATTTACAGAAAAAGCCACAGCAATAATATTCAAAGCTAAGGAAGCTGGAGAAGATATCATGAATTTAGAAGCTCCTTCTGAAATTTGTGAATTAACCAAAGAAAATGACGAGATCATGAAAAAAGATAGAAGAATTTACAATACATTCCTTTTCGATTTGTGTAAAGAAACAATCGCTGAAGTTTATCAAGCTGAATACGAAAAACCAGGTCCAAGTTGGACAAAACCAAACGTAAAAACAAAACCTATCGTGAAGATTCCTAAGACTATACAAGAACTTAATGCTTATGTGAATAAAGAAGTGGCTACATTATTCGGTTTCAAAACAAAACTGCAACGAGAAAATATGGTAATGCGTTGGAGTAGAAAACGAAGAGACCGAGTTGATGAATTATTGGCTAGAGAAGCTCAAGCTGAGGAAGATGAATGGACGAAATTTCATCATGATGAACTCGCGGTAAAAAATGGTCTTACTGTAACTATATTAGATACTCTGTTAATGGAGACTGTGAATGTAGTTAAAGTTGCATATGCAAAGAAAAGAAAAGTAATGATTTAGTTTTTTTATTTTTTTTCTTTCTTTTTTCTTTTTTTTTTTTTTTTTTTTTTTATTTGCAAAGTTAAGATTTATGACTGAAATACTGATACATATATGAATTATAACATAATCGTTATAATTAAAAAAAACAGTATATATTATTTTGAAATTAATTAGCTTAAACTGCTATAATTTTAATGAATTTTGTTAATTAATTATTATTTGTATTCTATGATTTGTAAGGCTGGTTCCTATTTATTTCATGTTCGTAAATAAGAAGACAAAAGGTGTGACAAATTTTATGAATTTTAGAAGTAATATGTAATTAGCAATTGTCGACCTATAGAACTCGATAATCAAACTATAAGTTCATTTTGTTAAAATAGAATTATTATTAGAGTATATAAGTTTTAGAATAGCATATAAATTTATCACAATTTATATTCATATATATTGAGATGTAACATATTTAACATAGGAATCCCATTAATTTTAAGAACATATAATTATTAATTTAATAACTTAGAGCGTTTTGTTCGAGTAAATTTATATTATACAATATATTTTTTATTTATTTGTTTTGAATTTGATTACAAATTTATAAATATTAAATTTATTTTCATGAAATAAATTTATAGCTAAAACTTATAACAATTTATAAATAACATTTTAATTACAATATTAATTGGACAAAATTTAACAAATACTCGAACAAAATGTTCCTTTGATTACATATATCTATAACTATGTTATAGAAGTTATCAATCATAGAACATATATGATATGTTCTTATTAAGTCGTATCGGATTTCATAAAATTATGCTCAACTATGTATAATAAAACAAAATTTAAACCAAAAGACTGATACTTTGGGGCCATTTCGATCTAAATTAAAAACAGATAAAGAAAGATAAAGAAACTTAAAGAAAGATATAATAGTTAATAATTAAACATTGTTTATAAATTGGCGCTGAAAAAAACTTTCCAAGTTAGCTATCTGTAACAAAGAGATAGTTTTGATTTTTTATTATATAGCCCCTTTAATATAAAAGAAATTAATATACAAATGTAAAAAAAAAAAAGAAAAAAATCTACTTTTTATATTATGAATTGCATCGCGTTTATAAACTGATTAATCAGTTATATTTTAATATAATTTTGATTGGTAATATGTTGATTCTATTCTATTATAACAATTTATTACTTAAGTTTACATTTATGGTTGTGATGTCAATTTAATATTCACAAAATAAAAAATAAAAATAACGGTTAATTATATAATGTTAATTATATAAAAATACAGCAGTGATGAAGAATGGAATATTAGCTTTAATTAGTATGAATTGTGAATTATCAACTTGACATATTTTAAAAACATTTTTTTTTTGATACAAGTCTTTTAACATGACTTTGAAAAATTTTGTTTTAGAAATGTACATATGATAATAAGATTTAAATATTACAATACTAGACTTTCTTTTTTAAAAATTTCTACCAATTAGAATTATAAAAGATAATATAAGAATTATAAAAATTTTTCAAGTCTTTTGTTTATTATGTAACTTTTTTGTTTATTTTTTTCTCTTTTTTTAATTTACAATTAGTTTAATACTAATTGCATATATAACTGTTATGTATTATAGATATTGTTCACGTATGTAGTGTTGAATATGTACTTAATTAAGCTATAATATATTTTATAATAAATTTTTTGAAAAATTTCTGATGTTTCTGTTAATATTTGCACAAAAAGAAAATATAATATTCCAATGATATCTTTGTATATAAAGAAATAAATAATATAAAAAAAATTTATTTTTTTTTATATTATTATAAGAAAAAAATTTTTTGTATTTATGATATTCATGTTTTTGATAATAATTTTAATAAATAAAAAAAAAATTTTATATAGATTGCTTTAAATAAAATATTTTTAAATTTCTGCCAAACTTTAATATATATGCATCTATAATCAGGAGAAAAATTTATATCATTTTCCTCATTAGGAGGCTATAACTCTTATGTAGGCATTATTAATATTTTTAAAAATATTAATCACTAAAAATATTTTGAAAAAGATTCTGAAGTAGGTGCAGTGCTAGTTTTGATAAATATTTTAGTTATTCAAAATTGATAATAATAGTATAATATTTAAATGATTTCAATATATATTTTATTGCTATAAGTGCAAATATAAAAATTCTTTTTGTTAATAATATTAATATACCTGGTATATATATATATTTTACACATATAATTTCTATATAATTATAAAATAATGTAAAAGTTGATTTAAAAATTATATTTTTTATTAGGTACTAAAGTTTTAGTATAATGCATAAAAAGTTGTACAAAAAAAAACTGTGTAAATAATTAATAAGAAAACTTGTATGTTACATTCCAGATATATTAATAAAACGATTTCAAAAAATACTAAATGTACGTTAATTATAGGAGACAACCAGTGTCACTTTAAGACATTATTAGTTTTAACAGGAGTTAAATTAGAAGATATAAATAAATAGAAACATCATGTGATAAAGAAAAAAATAAATTTATATCTGATTATTATATTGAATCGCTTGATGATCTTTTATCTTATTTAGAAAAATTAAAAAAAAAATATATAATATATATATACATAGAATTTTTTTTTTATTTTTATCAAAATTTCGATATTTATATAAATTTCATTACATTCATTGCAATAGATTACAAAGAAAATGAAAAACAGATTGTTAGTTTATCAAAATTTATGATTGGTTAATTTTTTTTCTCTTGTTGAGAATTATTATTTATTGAAAATGTATTTTAATATATGTTTCAGTAAACAATAATAATCGTATATTATTTGTTCTTCAATTAGTTTTTTCTCTCTTTACTACTCTCAAATCAAAATATGACATCAAATTTTGAAAATCTAAAATCTCGTCTGGCAATTGTGATTCATAATGTAAATAAAGAAATGGGAAATTATATCGTTTGATGCAACATGATACATGATATAAGTGTAGAGTAAGAATATGACGTCATTTGAGAGAATTTTTGCAACAATTCTAATTATAATTAAAATGTGATTTAAAATAATTATTGAATTTATTAAAAATATATATTAATTTACTAATAAAAATTATTTATGTCGATATTATATTAATACATGATTTTCAAAAATATGGAAATTAACTTTTTAAATGATATGATTACATTCTATTAAATTTTATTTTATATAATTATAATAGTAATTTAAATTAATAAAGTAATAAAATTAAGTTTACTTTTATTTAAAATAATCATGTGATCTATATTATTTCTTTTTATATATGTATAAAACATATTTCAAAAATATTTAATAATCAAAATTGAATAAAAAAATTATAACATATATTAAAATAAAATAAACTCATAATCATCATCGTATATATTCATCGTATATTGGTAGTTATGAATGAAAGAAACGATTTATATCTCTATATTATGTAATAAATGCTGAAGGTCACGATGTCAATGCGTGATTGTCAGTGATAGACATACTTTGTTTAAAATTATCTCTGTAGTTATTATAGCGGTTAATTGATAAAGGGTATATTTTGTGTGGATACTAGAAGACAGTTTCATTTTAGTTTGACTACTTGTACCTGTAGGTTATAGTAAAATGAAAACAAAAAATATATTATCATTATCAAATGTAGAATTTAAAACTCTAATGGATTCTATTGATGTAGTTTTATCAGATTGTGATGGTGAGTGATTATTTAGTATAAATATGATTTTTCTTAATGATATTTTAAAATATTTTAAAATAAAAGTAATTTAATATTCATTTATATTGTAATATTAATATTGAAATATTTAATAATTAATAATAAATAAATAATTCAATGTGCAACATTATAAATAATGTTAATTAATCTCAGTAAATCTTAGGTGTGTTATGGAGAGAAACAGAGGTAATAAAGAATTCACCTGAAACAGTAAAAAAGTTGAAAGAATTAGGTAAAAAATTCTTTTATATAACAAATAATAATACTAAAACTAGAACTGAATTTTTAAAAAAATGTAATGATTTGAACTATGATGCAACAATAGTAAGTAAAATGTATTACAATGTTTATAATTGAATAGAATATTTATAGAATATTATATAAAATATTATTTTAAATTTTTATTTAGGATGAGATAGTATGCACTTCATTTTTGGCTGCTGTATATCTTAAAGAAAAAAAATTTGATAAAAAAGTATATGTAGTTGGAAGTGTTGGCATTGGTAAAGAACTTGAAGCTGTGGGTATTCAACATTATGGTACTGGAGTGAGTATTTAAAAAAAAAACTATAATTAGTTAATATATTTAAATATGATAAACATTTATATTTTATTATTATAGCCAGATATAATAGAAGGTGATGAAGTAGAATTGGTAAAAAACTTTAAGCCAGATCCAGAAGTTGGAGCAGTTGTTATAGGCTTTGATAAAGATTTCAGTTTTCCTAAGATTGTAAAAGCTGTTACTTATTTAAATGATCCCAATGTTCATTTTATAGGAACAAACAATGATATTGAAAGGCCTTCACCAAGTACTAACAAATTTCCAGGTTGAAATTTATTTATATTATTATATATTATATTATAATCTAATTTTTTAATATGTTTTATATTTATTTTAAATATTTTTTTAAAAAGTTTAACTATAAGATTTAATTATATAGGAACTGGTTGCTTCATAAAAAATATAGAATCAGCTTGTAATAGATCAGCAGTAATACTTGGGAAACCAGAATCTTTTGTCAGTGAATATATTACAAAGAAGTATGGTTTAAATCCTGAAAGAACACTCATGATTGGTGATAAGTAAGTATAATTCATAATAATAATTTATAATACATCTGAGCAATTTTTATATCATTTAATACATAACTGTTTTGTTTCAGTTGTAATACTGATATCCTTTTGGGAAAACGTTGTGGATTTAAAACTTTAGTTGTATTAACTGGTATTACAACACAAAATGATATAGAGAATATGAATGCTTCTGATATAAATACTAAAAATTTGATAATACCAGACTATTATGCAAATGAATTAGGTGATATATTAGAAATGATTAAAATATTTTGATGATTTTAAAAAATTTAATTCAAATATTTAATATTATTTAAAAATATTTAAAAATATGATATATAATTGTTTTATTTTCTATTGTTCTATTTATTTTCTGTTTTTGTTATATTTTTTGCCCTTATATTTAATGTAATAATATATAAAATATCTAAATATTAATAATAAGTATTAGAAAAGGGATCTTCATTTTTCGTTTATCAAATTCATGTATATATTTATATACAAGAATATGCAGTATATAACTGCTTTCAATATTAGCTAAAGTAATATTCTCATATGTATAATATTAAAAATGATTAATGTTTAAATTTTTTGTATTATTATTTTCTATTTTTATAAATAGAATTTATTATTTTTATACAAATAATAATTATTTGTCACAAGCTTTATATTAACAATAATAAACATTAAAAATATGTTTATATATATTTTATTAAAAGTAAAGCATTTTTATTATTTGAAATAAAACGAAAATAAAGAAAATTTCCTAAAATTATTTTGTACTTTTTATATATTTTTTTTTAAATATTGAATATATTTATAAAAATTAATTTATCATAGATATGTTATCTTATTTTAATTTAATGAAAATTATTATTTAAATAAAATTTTAAATAAATGAAAATTGATTATACTTATTATACTTTATTTTTATATTTTTAATTATATTTTTAATTATACTTTAGATATATCTAATTTTTATATCTGAGATATAAAAATATGTCAATAAAATATAATGAAAGATATGATGGAAGCAAATAGAATGATACTTTTCTTGTCATTTTTATGATTTTGTATTAGTAAAGGAAAGACTTGTTTTATGATAAAGGAGAAAAATAAATAAATAATTTATATATCATAATGGACGAAGTATAAAACAGATATGTTATTCATTGTATTTTGCATGTATCACAGAGTCTTAAAATTTTTAGATCATCTTTACTTAAATATACATTTTATATATTAAAAAATACTAAATATTTTTACTTTTTATTGCCTTTTAATTAAATTATCATATGTATATATTGCGTATATATTATAATAAATAACAACAGACTATTTTTTGAAATTGATTTTTATTGTCGCACCTAATACTCGGTTACTATTAAATTTTTCTACTATCTCACTCGCTAAACGTTCTTTTAATGTTTAAAACATATTCCATATGTTTTATCAACAATATTTCATCAATAAATAGAACTGATTCAATTTTTTATGGAACTAACAATTTTTAATATCCAAATACAAATTTTAAACAATTTTTCCACATATTTATTTTAAACATTATCGTTTATAATTAAAATTTTTTTCTCACATGTGCACGAGTCATAAGAATGCATTCTTCGAAATAAATTAATTATTTAATTAAATATTATAAAATTTGATTTTATTGATTAAAAAAAGAAAATTATTTTTTTCCTTACTTTTTATTTTCTATTTATTTTAATTGAAATGTTTATATCCGAAGAAAAGTTTATTAAATTTTCTTTTCAAAAAATAGTTGATTAACTCGAACATTGTGATTTCGAAAAAAATTTTATGAATTGTTAAGAATATGTTAATAACTAAAAGTATAAAATCATAACATTTTGATGTTATCAATCAAAACTGTTGGATAAAGGTCGAATCTATAATAATCAATCGTTATCTAAATTGAAGATGATGAGTATAATTTAGTGCTTGTTTTGATATATAACTATTCTTAATTATTCAATTTATTGGCCCGATTGCTTATTTTCAGAATGATATAATTTCTATGATTGATATCATTTTTATGGATTAGTAGTTTTCATACATTTATTTCTATTTAGAATAATTAATTGAATAAAAAGGTATTTTATATATTAACATATTATAACTTAACACTTAGAAAATTGGATGATATTATTTTTTATATATATATATATATTTCTAAGATGAACAATTTTTCCATTTGTCCAAAGAATAATGAATAATGATAATAAATAACAAATAATAACAATAATAAAATATTTGTTAATAAAAAATAAAAAATATTCTAATTAATTATTAAATATTTTTAAAATTATAGTTTAAATGTATGTAGATGTATTTCTACATTATAAATCAATAAATATTAATAATATTGTTTATTTAAATTCACTATAATAAAAGTTTTAAACACAAAGAATAATAATCTTCTAAGTGTTAAGATTATTAATAACATACAAAACTTTGAAAAGAATGATTCCAACCAATTCTTATTTCTTGAATCACTTTAAATAATTTTCATCTCTTATTATTTTTTTAACATATATTGTAAATTTATATTGTAAACTTTATTAAATTAATTAAATTTTTAATGTTTGATTTCATATTTTCACCTATTACTAATATCGATTGATACTAATAATATTAGTGAATTAATACTAATAAATTTTTTTACATTATTATAATATATTTGATAATAAAATTAAATTTTTCTATATAAATTTTATATAAATTATAAATCTGAGATTATTTCTATTTCAAATTATAATTGTCAAAGAAATTTAATATGTAATTTACCAATTTACTAATTATTAATCAATAAATTATTATGCAATAAGACTCTGAATATTAATAGCTTACGAATGTTTGTCATCCAATGAATAGAGATCCTACATTATGTTTTATACACAAATATTTCCTTCGGTTTTTTTTGATTTGTCTTGTTATATCTATTAAGTACTATAAAGTACTTATAACAATTCCAATTTTCTTTTCATTTTTTATTTAATATGATTAAATTTATGAATGATAACGATAATATTTGTTTATTCAATCGTTTCAAAGCTCTCATTATCTTTGTTAAGTGATTCGATTACTTCACGAAGAAGTAATTCTTATTACACATATGATTTCTCAAAATAATATTTCTAGATTGGTCGAACAAGTATTTCCTCATAAATCACTCCATGAAGGATGTTCGTACATGTGTTTTTTCTTCAATGTTCTGTTTAACGACCAGTCTCACGTGCCATTTGAATTCACATTGTAATAATTGATACGCTCGCTTCTTGACAAATATGCAAACCAATAAAATACGTTGATTGCTAGGAAGAATACGGGGAACACGATGCGGCTGGCTCGATCGATTTTTGATACGGAATTGTATCTAGGAGTCCTCCTGCGTCGTCTTCGACCTGATTCCTTTCTGCTTGGAGGAATTTGTCGAGGAGGTGGACTGCAGGCCACGCAGGACATTTGCCAGTGACCCATTGTAGGATTTTTGCTCGGTTCTGGAATTGCTGATAGCGGTATTACCTCGATTATACCATCCTCGTTCATTGTAAAATTACGACTTGAATGTCCACGAGCTGCTAGATTTCCGGCAGTTCTTTTATTCGATTGGGAAATCTGAAATAATAAATATTCTGTTAGTTGAATAGAATCATTCATAAGAAATGAATATATATATATTTTTTCTTTTGAGATTCTTTTTCTGAGATTTCATCTTTAATATTTTAATAATAATAATTGATTTCAGTTTTACTAAGTATTCCATTTTAACTGGGTTTCTTCTATTTTTCTGCATTTAATAAAAATTAGCGCGAAAAATAAATTTGATACGGTGCTAAAATGAAAAATGAAAGAAGCAACAAGATCGTATCCATAATTTCGTTATATCATGATTACGCAATAGGGATGATGTTTCTTGGTTTCTAGATCATCCCTTTATTAATGCTCACTATCAAGTTTTCACGCAAGCATGTGTTCAATATTGATGGAAACATAAAAAGGTATGATAGATTGTTACATATTAGCAATGTAACGATTTTAATCTTTAACTGGGAATATCGAAAAATCAGGTTTGCCGATTTTTGTAGTCACTGTGGAACAATGCTAAGACAACAGAGCATGAATTCTTACAAAATATGAATATTAAACGATCTTGCCCATACTCGTGAAATACTTTGAGATTTATTATATTATCCTTATTGGAATTGAGAAGAAACATATTTTTATTAGTTTATTTTTATTTATTATCAAATTATTATTTAGTAATTTTGAATTTTTTTATTAAAATATAATGTATAAAATTAAGGACGAAAAAAATATTTCTTGCAATATTTGTAATACGATTCTATGATAAATTAACATCTGACTTATTATTTTTATTATTTTATAATATTATTAATAGTAGGCTTTTTTTAAAATTATAATTATAATGAAAAGTTAATATAATAGTTTTGCTCTTATGCTACTTGAATAATAAAGTATTCAATAATGTTTTAATATTATAATAAATTATTTTCAAAGTATAAAAATTACTGGTTCTTTCTTCAATGGCCGTGTATCCGCTTCCTCTTCATCGCTGGAAGTTTCACTTTCGCTTAGATCCGAACTGAAATAACACTCGCCGGAACCGTACTTGGTGAAATAGTGGACCACCGCAAATTGTATAATGGTGGCGAAAATGAAGGCGAACGAGAGGAAAACGAAGAAATCCAAGGCAGTGGGATAAGGAACTTTTGGCAGATCGGTTCGCGCCTCCAATCCCAAAAATGTCATTGTTAACACAGTTGTTATTCCTTTAAACAGATTTTTTAAATTTTCCTTCTATATAAAAATTGTTTGTTAAAATAATTATAATTTTGATTAATATAATAAATATTCACGATCTACGAATTTACCTAGTGATACACGATCTGCAGTGGCTTCTCGATTTAACCAGAAGGAGACCCAAGACAGGACGACTAGCAAAACACAAGGTCCATATACTTGTATAAGAAAATTACCCATGTGCCTTTGCAGATGAAAATATACCAGCAACATCGAATATTCCGCTAAAATCAAATAATACTTTTAATATATAAAATTTTATTATACTTTTTATTTTGTCTAAAATAATAATATAAAAATCAAGATATATTGCATTTTTGTTATATTTATTTAATATTAATCTTTATTACATATTATTTATATTATATTAATAAATAATAAATATATTATATAATAAATAATAAGTATAATAAATAAATATTAAAAGTATTAAATAAAATTTATATTAAATGTAAAAAATATAATTGTTCAAAAGAGAATAAATTATCCCTTAACAAGAGATTATATAATTCTATCTTATCTAAAATATAATTAATTATTATATATAAAATATAATTATATAATAATAATTATAGTCTATAACAAATATAAGCTAAATACTCTTAAATAAAATATTGAACATGATAAAATAATACAATATTCAAATATCTTTTTTCTATACAATAATAAATATATAATATAATCATATAGTCATATAATTAATATTACATGAATGTTTCTGCAATAAAATAAACAAATTTAAATTTAAATTTAAAAAAAATTAAAAATAAAAGCAACTTAATTCAATGTTCATAATTTTTTTCCAGTTCGATATTCTTAAATTTCATCCAAATTATACATATATTATAATATTATAATATTTATTTTCTATTTGTTTCAATTTTTATTTCTACTTGAATTCCATATCAAATATTAATTCGTATTGAATTGAAATCAAACACAGTTGTGATCATTAGCTTCTTTGGTTACGCTTGAAATCTGTCGCATTGAACATATCATCCAATTCTCCTCTTATTTGCCTTGCATTTTTTCACTTGATAACGTTTACAAACTGGAACAACTTTATTGGACTTCATCTGATACATCATTCTGTTTCCTGTATATTATTTCCGGTATCCGACGCGGCATCCATTTCGATTTATCGAATACAAACAAACAATGCACGATTATTTGGCTTTTGCATTCGTAAATTTTTTCAAAATCAGTATTTTTCAATTTCTTTAAAATGTAACCTTATTACAACAGCGAAATAAATTACTCTATTTTTGCTCTATTTTCTCAGTTGCATAAATAAATTATTTACATCTATTTTTTTTTATTTTATTATTTCTTTTATTTTTTCGTTTAATAATATATTTCAAATTTAGATAAAAAGAAAGAAGTTAATCGAAGTATCGATTCTTTTTATCGATCAAATATATCCAAAGCAATAAAAAATAAGAGAATTTTATTTTCTTTAAAGTTCTTTTTTCTTCTTTTCTTTTTTTTTCTATAAAAGAATTATTCAAAAGTATTTGAAAAAAAATATAACTATATTTTGAGGTTAGTTATCGTTAAAAGAAAATCATGATATTACAATATCAATTTAATTGTACTATTAATGTATAATTCTTTAATTTTGAAGATATTTTTCTTGTAAAATAATTTTTTATTACTTTTTTGAATCAAATATCACTTGTTTGCGAAGCATTAATTGATGCTAATCCAATTAAAAGTTGGAATCCTTGCGTCCTAACCTCTTTTTTTCTTATCAATCGATGGAAATGGAGATTTTTGGAAAAGAATTTTTTTTTCGTCGTTGCCAACTTTCTAACGTGGAAAACCTTATCTTTTTTCTTTATCTTTCTTTCGTTTCACTTTCTATTCCCATCTTTCATTTTCTCTTTTTCGTATTTCTTTTTTCTTTATATCATGTCGTCGTTTTTTCTTGCATTGCATTTTCTGGTCAATTTCACCTATTACTCTTAGCTTTATTCCTACATGTCGATACTCTTCTTCTAGAATCCGTAAACGCAATAAAAGTTTCCAATCGAATTTCTTTGCAATCGTTAAGAGACATTTCTTTCCTTCGTTTCTTTAATTCAAATTTACCCGCCGATATTTATCGAGCTTTCAACGACTCTTAACGCGCCACACTTTTTTTTTTTACATTTCTCTTATATTTTTTTTTAGAATCGATCATTCTTAAATTATCATCGATAAAAGATCTTAGTTAAGAAATTTATTTTTTATGAATTTTTAATTCTTTTAATGAATAAATTTGATATTAATAAATATTGTTTGATAATATTTTACATGAAATTATTTTCAAGAAATTTTAAAGATTTATTTGAAATATGAAATATATTATGAAAATATTGATGGTGGAAATTGAAATTATTTAAAAAATAAAAAGAAAATTATTATAAAATTAAAATAAAAATATATTATTGATAAAATTAGAATTTTACTTGTAATAATTTTAATTATATATTTATAATATTACATATTTAAATATATATATTCATTTTTTAAATTTCTAAAGATTTGATTCTCTATATAAATGTACATAATAAGCATAATTTTAATAAATAAATAAAAAAATGAAATAATATAGCAAATAATAAAAACAAATAAATCTTTTAAATAAATTTTTTCAGCAAATTGAACAACATTTTTTGCATCTAAATCACTAAATTTAGAAATGAATTATCTAATAAGAAATATCGACTCACTGTGTGAAAGGGTCGTCGATGCAGAATAATTTGCAGTAGGATTGGCAACCAAATCGAATTGGGATAATTTCATGTCCTCGGCGATTGCTACTTGTCGGGCACTGTTCCACTTGTAGATCACGTCCCGCTTCGTGTAACCGACTGCAATCAAGAGAATATTTCTTAGCTTAGCTCGTTCGCCAAAGAACTATAAAAAAAAAGTATCGAATTCATTCCTCGTTTAAGTGTCACCTTTCTTATTCAATGAAAATTCCTCCCCACAGATGTATTTCTTATTTAAATCTCTCTCTTTTTCTCTTTCTCTCTCTGTTTTTTTCCAGCACAACATAAAGAAAAACACTGTTATTATGTTGTTTAATTGTTATCAGAGAAATTTGTGCTTTTAATATTGTTCATCTTTGGTTTTCAAGATTTCTTATTTTTCTTTTTCTTACCACTTTTTCTATGTTCAATTTTCAATTAAAGACAAAAATTTTATTCTAAATATAGAATATAAGGATTCAAGATAGAGGAGAAATGAGAGAAAGATTAAGATTCATGATCTAAGCTTTTTTAGCGTTAATTTTAACAAAAGTTCTTTATAAATGTTTAAAATTGTTTTCACTAATTTTTCTTTTTAATTTTCTCTTTTCAATTGAACTTACAACTACCAAATTGTAGTGGACATCTTTGTGTATCCATTGGAAAATTTTCAAGATTCATTGGACATCCTGCCTTGATCGTGAGTCTAAAATTAAATATTTATATTATTTTACTAAAGAAATAATCTTATGAGAAATATATCAAATAATTACTTTTAATATTTATTAGTCAAAAATTATTATTTTTATTAGTTATTCAAATGACTCTAAAATAAATGATCAATATTTATTATTATCATGCTTATACTGCGAATACAATATTTTTATATTAAGAAACATAACATACAAAAAAATTACAAAATATCAAAAATACGTTATGATATTTGAAGAATAAAATAAATTTTTGTTTAAACTCTATTTTATCAAAATTTTTTACAAAATCCGCAATTTAATTATCATTCATCGCATCAAAAATCAGATTTCGATATATCTCCAATTTTTTATTCGAAACATGTACATTTTATTCGAAATATTTATGCATTAGATCGCAGATGATATAAATTACAAAAAAATGAAAAAAAAAAAATATTCATCATAATAATCATAGCTTTGTTCGATGGACCTCGAGAATGATTCGTTCATTAGAATCATCCATCTGTTTGATACAGTCTTAACCGATGTATAACGCCTTATAACTTGACATATAATTCAGTTTTGTTCTTCACGCTACTTGGCGAACATAATAATTCGATATCATGGATCTCTGAAATATTCGATTCGCGATTACCTCTCTACGTGTTGTTCCCTACGTGGTACCATTAGTCGAGCCTATCTACTAATTCGAATATAATACAATTGCATGCATGTATATATACACAATAGATATAGGATCGTGATATCGGAAAATATTATTTAGCACCGGTAGAACGAACATTTTCAAGCGTTTTCGAGTGCAACGGACGATGAGGAGCCACGAAGCTTGGCTATTGTTCTTTTGGCACGACGGACAGGTGGACGGAATACGAATTTTCAGGAAATACAGAATATATGGAATAATCTTTCATTAGTAGAAATTCTGTGACTGTTCCGCAGATATCCTTTTGTTTTAAGTCGTTTTCGTGGAGATTGCACATATAAGATTGATACATGAAAATTATCGTTTCTTCGAATTTGATAAATTAGAATGATCCATTAAATTTTGCGCGTTGTTCTCGATTGTTATCAATCGTATTAACTGTTCGATATCGATAATGTTTGTTGTTGTGTGTTTATATTATCTATGAAAATCAATGTTTCAGATTTCAGATAATTTGATGATAAAAAGTTGGATATATATAATGTTATTATTTGAAAAAAATTATTATTCACTATAAAATATATTAATATTGAAAATTATTTGAAAAATATTTTGTGATAAATAATAATTTGTGTAATATAAGAGATAAAGATCTTAAGAAAAAAATTATTTTGAAATATTAAACTTATTAATGATATAATAAATATAATCAAGTGATTATGATTTCTCAATGTACATATATATATAATATTTTGATTTTTTTTGATATACAAAGAATCTAATTTTATTTTATATCTTGAATTTTGATATCTTGTTTAAATTGTTATTTTTTAAAAATCCTTGTTTTTTTATACATATTTTTCTTTAAAAATTTCCAAAACAGATCCTTATTAAGATTTGAAAATTTCAACTTTCAAGTTCTATAATCGCGAGATAACATAGATTATGATTATATAATTCCAAGTTTGTTGCAATGTAGTCGTATTACGAGTTTAATGTTAAAGATGTCTCTAGTATCAACTATTAGTTAAATGAATAGACTAAAGATGATAAAGCACATAGTACTCAGTTCTAACTAGAATTACGATATACATGTATATTAAATTAAATTATTGTATGTATTAGAATATTATATAAAAGTGAAAACTGTTTTTAAATAATCAGATTATATTATCATTATATTATTACATTATTATTATTGTAATATTGTTGTCATAAATTTTGTAGATTAATAATAAAATGTAATTTAATTCTCAAGTAATTTAATTTTGCATTAGAAACGTCTGTACATGGGCAATTATATTAATCTGCTGACGTTAAGTCAGTTAATTGCATATAATTACAGTTGCATATAATTTGATTTTATCTGATATTTTTGTAGTTTTTAAAGTTTTAATTGAAAAAAATAATTTTTATTACTAGTATCAGTAAATCTTAATTAATAGATAATAAAATAAAATAATAGATAAAATTAAATAAATATAATTTCATGTAGAAAATAATAAACACTTTGATATCAATACTTCTTATTAATTGTTTATCCATCCATTTTTATGATGAAATATTTTTTAGTTTTACCAGTTACACATGTTTTTCAACATTTAATCACATAGTTACTATAGCTTAGTCATTTTGATCAAGGTATTGAACATGTTCAACCAAGGATAGATCTCGAGCAATTTACTTTCGACGATTTTCCACTACATTTCTGGAGTTTTATAAGAGTTCTTTACAGACTCAATCACGGTTCCGATCGATCTTCTTCCAAATGATCGATTTTCGAAACTTAATTCACGATTGTTATCGACGACTCGATGATACAGAAAAAAATCGTACGACGAATGTTTTAAATATTTTAAAAGACGAAAAAAAAAATATAAAATAAAACATAATTAAATATATGATATTGTTATAAATTTTTACAAAATTCTTTTTTATCATTTTGTTTTAATTTTTCAATTTTTTTCCCATTAATTAATATATTCTATGCAAATCATAATAACTTATAAATACTAAATATAAATAACTAAATATAAATAAATACAAATTAATTTTCCAAATTCTATAATTCAAGTTTGTAATTAAGATATTTCAATATTTATAATAAGATAAATGTGAGAAACAAATCTGAGAGAAGATAACAGAATTCATTTCCTCTTGGAGAAACCAAAGTATTAATTAAGCGATTAATTGGCTCGATATTGACGTATTTCCGCATTTCATCTTCAGATATGAATCTGAATTTTCTATTATATTTTATTATACGATTCATCATATTCAGATTTCAAACACGCCGATATATGATGTTAAATTTTCTTCTCGCGTTCAATGATATTTTATTTTATTTTTATTTCGTTGAATATCCATGGAAGCATTTTACAAGGAGGAAAATCTTTCTATATTTCAAAATTTATTCTTTCTCGAATAAGAAATAAATCAGGACAATACTTGAATATAATAATTGATACGATATTCAATTTATCGTATGAATGTAGTTTGACAACTTTGAATGATAAATATCATAATTCATGAATTATCATAAAAATTTTTTTTTAATGAAAATGATCAAAGAAGCAAATAAAAAAGTTACCTCCTCATTGATTTCGATGATTTTATAATATGTTGCAATATATTTTTATAACTTTGAACTTTTGTCTGTTGGTTTACCTTAAATTCATTGATATGTTTATTTTGATTTTTTTATTCTCTTTAAAAAAAAGAAAAAAATAATAAGAACTAATCAATTCATATTTATAATCAAATTTCGATTCTGACCTAGATTCCAGATTGGATCCTTATTTTTGTACTAATTTATATATTATAATTTTAAAATATGTTGTTAACACATCCAATTTCAAAAATTTTCCACATGTTTTTTTTTTTTTTTTCTTTTCCATAAACATTCAACTTTTGTTCAACAAGCTCGATAAACATTGACACAAAACGATATTCTTTTATCTCTCATTATCTCTATTATCATTTATTATTATTTTTCAAATGATTCATTGTTATTTATTTTTTATGTCAAAACTTGATTCAAAATTCGCGTTCCTTATTTTTTTTCTTTCAATTTTCAATAAGGATTTCAATTTTCCTTTCTTCTATTGATCAGCCACGCTATCTCTGTTTGGAAAGTTAGCAGGATGATTCTCAATGTCGATTACAAACGTATTCGACTGCGTTGGAAGATGTGTCAAGCGACTAGAGGAGGAACTTTTCACCTTAATTGCCAGGCGAAAAGCAGGAAACGTTTTCGAAGTTGAAAAGGGTTCGTTGGTACATCAAAAGCACTTGTTCAGCAAGGTGACGTCATCTCCTTTTTCAAATCTTTCTCAAACGATTTTGTAACGTTCTACGTGTTTCCGTGAGATAGAATTGTACTCGATTATCAGCCATTCTATTCTTTTGACTTTTGCATTGAGGAAATAATAGTGGTAGCATGATCGCGTATAAAATTAATAAAATAATGCAAGAAATAGTAAATTTAATGTGCTGAATAATTTTTAAATTTAATTTTTAATAACGTAGTATAGATTTTTCAAATATATACAATTTGTACTTATTTATATTTATATTTATATAAAATACAATTTATATTTATATAAAAATTTGAATGATAAAATCTTTACCAATTCTCAACGAGATAATTATGTTAAAATCGATATAATATTAAAATCTAGTTAATTGTTAATCAAATTAAATATTATCCAAGAAATTCTGTATTTATTCAGAAATTTCGCAGTAATTCAGCAACGAAAAATTCGAAATTTATATTCGGACGATATAATTTGAATTATAAGGAATGTTTGCACCGAACAGATTCGATATTTATTGCTACCCACTGGTAAACCCTTTTGTATCGTCGGAGATTCGCGGTGAAAATAATTTTCATTGTTCATCAGGTCGAATGGGTTTCATTGTGGACCGTGTGCAGTTTGCTCGAGAGCTTGACGTTTGAATTTACCGCCACGAACACGTCCAGAAATGTTCGTTTACACGCCGAGAGACCGAAATCACAAAAAAATATCGAGAAACCAGAGATTGTTGATTTGAAAATTGAATTGAGGACAACAAATTTCCAAAGCATAGTTAAAATTTTGTTTGAAAGAAAAAAATTCTAATTTAAAACAATTACTTGTTTTTATAAATATTAATATTTGAAAAAAATTAATAAGAATTTTCAATAATAAAATAAAATTAAGACAAATTTTAATTTTATGTAATTATTTATCTTTTTGAGATATTAATATTTATACAAAATCAGAAGAAATTTAAGTTAAAATTTATTATAACTTTTGGATTCTTAATTCTTTATAAATTATAATTTTTTTTATATTTTATTCATTTTTG